ATGTCCTGTAGATTGTGTAATCAATTATTGGACCAGTAATTAACCGGAGTATCGCATCAGCTTGTGTTTGATGTGATCATATGAAATGTATATAACATAACTTGCGTAAAGTAAGTTTAAAAGGTAAAAACTTTTGTACTTTTGTTTCTTGTATGCGTTTACGTTGGAATTACAGCAGACCACCACGAGCTGTGTATACAATATACGTTTGTACATATTCTGTGTTAATTTGCTATTCAGTGCACATGGAAATTTTGACACTGTAATAGGTTGATAAATGAGACTTCACAGGGCATTAGAGTATGTACTCATCAATGGCCGAGACTGCATGCAAATGAGCTTACGTTTGTGAAATATTTTAATTCCATACATACGTGCCTTATCCTTTGTTGAATTGTAATACTTTGTGGGGGTTATCCTGTCGCACTGGAAACATTCTACATTGATTGCCAAATGTTCCTCTGCTGAAATGATAATTTGTGCAAAGAATAATTTTAATTTCCAACAACTTTTATTCAGATATTTTTATATTGACCGACATTTCTCTATACTGGTCAGCTGTTGTTTATTGGATATTTCTAAGAAAAAGTTAAACCGGAAGGGTCGTCACCTGTGCACGCGCGGGAATTGAGTCCCAAGCGTTGATAACAACACACCCTAAGAACGCAAAGGCTCATGGGTAGACGCTTGTTTGTAAACAATGACACGCTATGGCCTGGCGCATGCGTAGGCGACGATTTTCCCGCTTTAAGTCAGTAAGGTTAAACTTTGCCATTAACAATGCTGACTGAGTGTGACCAAGCACTTTTAAAAAAATATTTTTCACATTGAATCTGTCTCTCAGTTTCCATCCTCTATGTTTAGAAAGTGTTGAATGCATCAAGTATATTTCTTACTTTGTCTAAATAGAAATATAACATTTCTTGCATATTAATTAAATAATTAGAATAAATCTAAGTATTGAATGTCATTACAGTTTTTCTTGGACTTGTTCGGAGGGGTGGACTATTTTTTCCCAATGTTTTGCTGCCGGAACTCCACTTTCTTTGACAAAAGGTAGACTCCGGGAGGTAGTTATATATCGTTTTCCTATAGGTCAGCCCATTTCGATTCTTTCTGTTATTTCTCTGTCGGTTCGGATTACCAACAAACATTAACGCAACATTAGTTCACGACATGTACATACTGCTAACATATTTGATTGGTTCTTGTGAATATCTTTGATACGTAGACTAGATTTCGATTCTTGAAACATTCATTCATCTCTACAGTGCCGGAGCACTCAATCCAAACGTAGGTGAGCATATACGTTACAAAACACGTGGAAAGGATGTTTCGTGCGTTTGCTTTTAGGCTTACCAGAACAACTACATTGAATAAAAAGATATACTGATGATGCAATGACTTAACTATTGTGAAATGCAATTTAAGTCTATTTTGTAACTAATATGCGAAAAATGCAAGTACTGTATTTGTGTATTAAATGATTGGGTTATTATTTCAGTTCACACTCACGAAATGATGTATCTGGTCTTGGGGAAAAAAAAGTATTAAAAATTGGATTAACAGCCACGGGATTCATATCCACATGCTTAGCCCCGAATTTCCAATATCTAGTAACACACATGCTGTCCCACGTTTTGGCTAAGCTTCCCAGGGGATACTGAGAAGTATGTGTAGTGGTTGCGGTGACTTGGGTAATCGGCCGGATATGACATCTGATTATTGGAATAACTTAACCACTGTACTTAACAAACAAAATGTCTGGTGCGTTACTCGGGGGGGTGCCAGCCAAACGACTGTCTTGGACGTGTTGGTTATCAAAAAGTGTTCATACAACTAAGTTTTGTAACATACATTATAATTTATTTAGCACCCTTCTTTCGATTGCTTCAACATAATTAAACGAGACAAACATGTACGAAGTTCTCAAAAAAATACTAAAAAATATAAACACATTCTATGAAATGAAACAAATACAACAGTTAATGAGGATACGGGTTACACGTTGTGCTCTTAGCTATTACCACATTTTAGCGATTGTTGCTTCGTTTCTTTTACTTAGGTCGAGTGGATTTCAGTGTTTTCTTGGACATGAAAGTATAACTTGAGTTTTTGCATTAAATAGTATGTGTGTGATCAAACCTAGAAAATAATAGGAACTCGCGTGGGAGGTTTGTAATGTATTCCCCGCTAAGTTCTACCGAGTTCTCATCAATTATTAAATGCTCGCTGGTTCGACATCTGGTTAATTAAATGTGTTTAAGTACAATTCGTTTTAATTTCAGTTTTGACAGCAACACGACCTCATTAACACACTGTCCAGGGTAGCAATGTCTTAGATACGTGATTTGAAAATTCATTCATGAGTTAACTTTTCTCACAGCTCTTCAACACTAGTACAGACGTATTTTGTATTGGTTGAAAGCTAGGACGAGGTCACTTGCTCCGATATTCAGGGTCAAAGGTTGGTTCAAAATAAACGTCAATGTGGCATTGATGACGAAACATGATTGGTTCAACGTAAACATGTGACTATTTATAATAATTACGTTGCTCTGTATCCTGGAAAATGTATGCAAATTGTTTACCAACAAATGTCGACCTTATTTGAACAAGATGGTTTTGACCCTGTTATCTTTATCTACGTGTTAACCATTGTTTAATTCATATCTAAGCTTAGATGGTTTACCTCAAAATATACACCACTTTAAAGTATCACATCTACATCGGAAGGTCATACATCCTGGCACTTCTGGGGGTGTGGATTTAATATCAACGTGACTTATTCATACTTTTTCTTCAAAACAATATAATTCATCCGAAAATATTTGTTTAGAATTTTGAAATAATTGCCAACAATTATAATGTATTCCCCATCCTAGATACCAAGATGTACGACCTTACTGAAAAGGTCATGTCAATTCGTGCATTTCAATGACAACTCTTCATTTCCTACGTTATTAACGACCAACATCCGGGTTATAGCAGACCCCTTAACCCTTTAATTGATGTGCAACACTATGCTCACTTTTTATGTATTTTTCTATAATTTAGGCGTTATTTTGGGACCAAATGATCATGATAATTTTCCACTAGTTACAGATCTTGAATAATTCCATTAGAGCGCTACAGTCGACACATGCAGCGCGTGTTCGATTTTCACGATAACAATGTAATTAACACGCGTTGTTTACGTTGTTATGGGTCCCTATCGAATACGACGCAGTGCGACGAGTCTAGCGCTTTAAATATCGACAAACCTGTGCAACTTTATTTTATGAAAGGTGCCGTATGTTGACTTTGGTCACGCGTTCAAAGGGTTTAAATTAAAGATACACAATTTACATGAAATTAAATTCCATTATCACATTTCAAGTTACTTTAGAGGGGGTCCAAACATGATTATATTTGACACATTTCGGTGATTGGTAGAGAATATGCAACGTGTTTCAAAAAGATAACCCCCAGACAAACAAATCGACTTCAAGTACTATGGCAGTAGTTTCTAAGACAGGTGATGTGCGCGAGGGATTGATACATATATCCGAAACCTAACGTGACGTCACTAGGATCCCATCAGACCACATATCTTTTACATCCTAAATTATAACATGGGAAATTGATTTCGCTTATCATTGAGTTGACTAGAACATAAATTGTGGAAATATTCCGTCACGTGCACGTGTGTGGCGTGTTAATGAATAATGAGGTATTTGTTTTTGGTGATAGTCCAATTAAAGGCGCTCCGTGAGAATCGAGTATATTTGTCCTGTATGCCCTTATTTGGAAGTTAACGCACCGTGACGTCGGAGAATGAAAAGTAATTTGTTGCCAGTGACGTATCACGAGATGTGGCACGTCGCTGGGTCTCAAAGGTTAAACGATGAAATCCCCGCCTGATATAATCTTAATCGCGTTGCCGGAAACATTCTAGTAACCATCAATTAGAATTCAAATATTGACTCGATAAATTCTCTTTGAATTGATTAGTTTTGCGGGTAGTCCCAGAGGGTGTGCGATTCACCAGTAACAAGATGGACGGGGCTCAACTATCTTGCAATTTGCCGTGAGCTACTGTGATATTTTTGTCAATGAAGGTACGGCAAAAAATGGAAATGCCGATTATTTAGAAACAACATTGTGTGGGCAGGGTGGGATTGATTTAACTTCTACAAATTGAAAATTGTAAGACTGTACGAGAAGTTTTATTACCGCATGCATTTCGTTATAGGTTAGTGGGCTTTTGTAAACAGGCGGTCGAATCTCTGAATGGATCGCGGAAAAAAAAGTTATAAAAATATCGCAAAAACATATTTTATCAGTACCGTGGTGTAATTTTGAATGTTCTTCAATTTTTCGCCGCTTTCGTTACCGGGATTTGTTTTGCTATAGTTATATGGTTTTGCTATCTGTCTTGTATATAAGATAATATTGAGCTCATTTTGCATCAGTTGACATTTTGAGTGCCCTTTTCACACCCTCGTCAAAAATATGCGACCCCCCCCCAATTATTCGGTTATGACATCGTTATATTATTGCAGACACCACCCTATTGGTTTACAGTGTCAGTCATTATATATATACATATATCTATCAGGGCACGTTGAATAACACTTTGAAAGAGGTTATTTTATTTATCGAGGGAGTATTTGTTTTAACAACTTACCCGTTACCAAAGGGCAATTGTGGATTAATATTAAGGAAGTCGTGAGTGGGCGACCCTGTCACTATATTGATATAATATTGTAAATTTAGCTATCTGGTTTAGTAAAAAAAAACAGCGTTGAGGTCATTCAAGGCGTCGTAGTCGTCACGCCGCGTTGTGTTCGCGTAATTACACGTAACTCAAACGCGCGCGAGTTGTGACTAAGACGTTTTGACTCACCACCGTCGAAATGTTGTTTTCTTAATGAAAACTGATATCATTAATAATATTTGGGTTAATTCATTTAATAAACGCGGAAATCGTTCTTGAAATGCACGCGTCAACAAATAAATACCTACTGAATGTTGTATATTTATTCAAAACCCTGGTCCGAGAAAATGGAAAAAAATTTCGTGACGTAAATACGGTTTAGGCCACTAAACATGAATATTATATTTAAGCTGGCGCTTGTCAATATATCCTCTACACACTATACAAATAATACTTTAAACATTTAAACACTTGTTGGAGACAATGAATGAATAAATTCATGAAATTTGTCCCAAATAAATGGAGACTCTCATTTATGGGACTTCTGTCGAAGCTTAAATACAGTCAGTATTAGACTTGGCACAATAAATAATATATTTAAATATATAAAACATCTCTTAAGTATTTTCCAGTTTTTGGCATATAAATTACACAGTTCATATAAAAATACTGAAATCATAGATTTACATGGATATTTCACCATGGCGACGACTAGAGCAGACGCACTTCATAAACAAGGAAGATGGCCGACGACAACAACGATGGCGATGATGAAGTAAATAATTCCAACGACGCATGCGTATCAGTTGGTGAGTTCACATATAGAGTTGAAGTTATTTTCCGTCTTCACGTTTCCACCACAAATCCATCACAAGGTCCTTGAATTTGACGTAGCGCCTTTACGCTATCATCTAGAATAGATTTCTACGTAATTATCAAGGCTACCGTTTTTTATCCGTGCCTTGTGAAACATTTGTCCTAAAATATCGTTCATACTGTTTGTCGTCATTGCTAGTCCTTTCAACTTCCGGTAGTTCGCGTTTCATAAATTGTACCGCTTTTTTTAATGAAGAGGTTCGAAGTGCACTTTTAGTCTTGCCGTCTCTGCCAAAACTGAGAAACCAGCCTTCGTAACGAACCGATTCATACTCTGTGTAACCGTTGTCAGAAATAGATTCCTTAAATATGCAACTGTAAGATCTTCCTCCTGACTTTTTTGGCTGTAACAATATAATAAAGAAAATAAATAAAATAAATACAATAGTAAACAATGCACCATCTTGACTGATTTAAATTAATATTCTACAATGTAATATTCGTGTTGCATCATGGGATAGTATTCAACATGCGCGTATGGTTGATGAAACGTGTGGTGTTTGCATGCGCGTGGTTCAGTCTGTGGCATATTCGAAATCAACAGGTGTCCGTGAGGTCCAAGGATACGTGACCTATTCCTGTCTATGTGGCAGTATGTCATTCCTAGATATCCAACCCTGGCGCAAACTGCGTAACCACCTTGAGGTAGCTGTCGCCTTTTATAAAAAGAAAAGGTTGTTACGGAAGACAATTTGAGGGATGGCGCGGTCAGTAAAGAATGGCGTGGTTGCAATCAAGATGTCACACGTAAATTATAGTCTGCGTTTCCGAGTATTAGCTGGCAACGTAACCACGTACAATGCGACACGATGCAACCAAGAGACGTGATAAGGAAAGTAATCGTTGCACTGCGGTCTCCGGTAACGATATGTAGATTATGTGCGTACCCAACAAGAACAAAGTTGTGGTCTTTGTATAATTTCAAAATGTTGTTGTTATTGTTGTTGTTGTTGTTATTGTTGTTGTTCTTGTTCAAGGAGAAGATGGGTGGGCACAATTATACCGATGCAGGAGTAATGGTTGTTTTCTTTGCTTATTGCAACTATTCAAACAGCCCTAGGCCAAATGTAGCAGAATAATACTACCAGGGCAGTGTCTTTGCTAGTACGTTGGTGGCCCCCGCATAAAACAATCCCTGTCGTACTGTGGACGCTGTAAACGTCTACAGTTCGCACATACTAACAATAGCGATCTCGGCGGTAATCACCTTACCGCATTTCCGCATATACGCGATTAGCCGGAAACCACGGTCGTTTTTGTTTTTTTTGTTTTGTTTTTTTGTGTTGCTTCTTTTTTTAAATTCGTGTCCAGAAAATTACAGGTTTGCGAAGAAGGCGGCCGCGATAAAAAGCATTTAGCGCTATTCAATATAATGAGGCATATCGCTCAAGTTGTCAGCAAGTAATTTACTTGCTTGCATGCCTCGATGAGTACAATGGCATGGAATTCAAGGCTGATAGGCAGGTTTTATGTTTGGGGTCTCTCCAGAAAACACCGATAAATCAGTAATCACATCCCGCCCTCCATACCCGATGGAGACAGAGAGGCGGTCGTCTTGGCAACAGCTCCACCTTTTCTTGGACAGGTAGCTATCCGGAATGCGAACTTACATTGAACTGTACAAAGATAAGGACAGTAACTGTAAAAGTCACCCATTGTTTGCTTTGGTATCGTACATTTATTCTATTATGGGCTCTTTAACTTCATCGCATGAATCCTACCAGAAATGGCACTTTTTTGTTTGCAGGACGCTATTCTGCCGCTAAGTGCTAGATACTATAGCACATCTGTCTTTTGTGGTGGTTAGATTGCTTCTTGATTAGAAGGACTCACACCTCGTAAAGTGGCCGATGTAAATTGACTAAAAGGCGAAGTGTTAAAGCGAGAAATGAGAAAGAAACGGTTAATAAAACGGTGTAGTAGGGAATATATCTCATGCTACTAATCTGTCTCCGCCATATACTATTCCCACAATGCATCAAAAGTTGAAGGTGTTTAGTGCATTTAACGCCACTCACAAAAAAACTGACATTTCCAGGAACCGCAGCGTATACAAATAAATATTGTTTCATGCATGCGAGGAGTGTTATCCAATTACGGGACAAATTAGCCCAATTCTAAACAATCGGCGGACACAGTGATTTGACACCAAATCCCCCAACTTTGTTAAACACGCGAGTTTCATAGCTTCAACAACAAGCACCCTTAACCGGACATCGTTATTCAGTGCACGGTGGATCTCGGCTATTAAAAGGTGCGCATTAAACATGATATATTAGGCCCGTGTACTATTGCGTGAACTGACCTAGGATCTCGGCGTTAACAACAAAATACGCTGACGAGTCGTTATACCTGCCACTAGCTGCCTATTTATACCGATTTGATTTACCGCCTACATACGTATATCATGTAAAAAGTGTGGCGGGCACGGTGTCGACCCTTACCCCCACCACGTCTCATGCACTGATTGCTCACAAACGAAGAAGAACTCCTGTGGTGCGTACAGAACGGAAATCTTCCCGAATTCCGAAAGAAGTAATTACACAGAAAACAAAATTGAAACGTTCTTTTTATAGCTACTGAATGGGTCAATCAAGACTCGAGACGGCCAAACCCGGTAACATTGGCAGCCTCCGAGGCTATCACAGTATGTTCCTTTTTTTATGGTTAGCTAGTACATTTACTGTCATGGAAGAAGGTATTTGTTGTGAGGCTCTACGTTATAATGCACGTATAGAAACGCTGTAGCGCCTTGGGATTAAATCCGGCCGTATTGTTAACTCCGGCAGCGTGTCCACAAACAACCAGTTTGAATGAACCGGTTGCGAAGGTGCAATTGAGAAATTTCTCCAAACCACTGCGTATGTTTGGACACGGACGGCACGACTAATTGTCCCTATTACAATTTTCGTTTTCCAACCAACCACGTATATCCACGGGGAGTGTTTGTAAGGTATATTCGGCTTATTTTCCCGCCTTTGTGGGAGTTTTCGCATGTTTGTATTAGTAGGCTGACCCCCGTTATTCACTTAAAAACGAATAACCCCAATTCCGTCAATGCGACCAAAGATTGGCTTACACTTAAATAAACGTAGTCTTTCGTGAAAACAAACAATATCAACCAAAACACGGTTTTTAAACAGCAATTATAGTATCTCCGATTCCTATCGATCTCTTTATAAGGGTATTGCCGGGGAAAATTGAATAAAACAACTGTAAGTTAAGTTTTCCAAAGTCAAACAGCTGCCGCAAATGGAAAGCTGAAATTAGGGGGAGGAGCTGTACCTATAAACGCGAGACACCCGATTGAATTCAGAAAACTTAAAATTACTTACCCTACCGACAGCTTTCCCCTTGCTGTTCATACATAAATAAAATTTACTTTCTTCTCCTCTTATAGTAACTTTACTAAATGTCTCTGTTTCTATAATTAATCTAGCTGTGGAAAAACAAGGAGAAAAACAAGCGGGTAAATTAACGATGAACTTAAAATTGGCAAAATAAAAATCCTGTACAATAGTAATTCAAGGATAAATAAAGAGGTCATACAACTACATTAGATACATTCCAATGAACCTTTTCAGGATTCATTTGTATTCCATCTCTTCACCTTCAAATGTACGCCCCAAAGATGCCCATCAGATTGAGGTCAAGTGAATATTTGGAACATAATTTTACCGCATTAATCTCCGAATATCGAAAGTCTGTACGTACAAGTATATAGTATATATTTATATAGTATATAACTTTCAATATATTTATTGTACTCTATTACGTGCTGTCTCCATGGCGACGCACACGGACGTTATATCGAATAAACTGTTAGAGTAGGGGGTCTTCATAAATATTGGACCGTCGCATGTATCACACTGCGCATGCGCATTTTATTTTTATTTTAGACAACCGAATGACTTTTGTACATTTTCGTGGCAATTTTCCTCTCAATGGCAGAACACAAAATTGTCGTCTCGTGCTTAGTACGTGTTCGATGCTCAGACTAAAATACCCACAAATAAATGTTACGATTAATACCGTCGAAAATACATTATAAGTATTTTACTATAGCATGGATATGTATAGTAGTCAGTGTTCACGTCAATCAAAAAAGTACGTGTTTGTAGTAAGCAATATGTCTCTGTCAGTGTATGAGTGTGAATGTGAATGGTTGCTAAGTGACGAGACCACAAATATGTACCGCGATGTACCATGGGATACATTGATGTGAACACGTTGTTTCAAATGATCCTTTCTAAAAATAAGTTTTTGTTTTGTTTTTTTCTTGTTTTCGCAAGGGCCATTTTTTTATCTTGCAGGGAGGTCGTTGTACGATGTAAAACGTTGTGGAATGCCCCTCCCCGCACTACTAGTATACTGCCGCAAGAAAAAAACCATACCAAATCAGTGCGGCGGTGGCGATCGGACCCAATGCAAATGACATGTCGTGTGTGAACTATAGACATAACAAGATATTACGAGGGACCCCTAGACATACCTGGTTTTCATGGGGGACTTATAGACATACCAAGCTTGTCGTGGGGGACCTTGTCACTCGGCGATTTATTCACATGAGTGTGTTAAGTTTTTTGTTACTGTATTTATTCTCATCGCCTTCGGGGAATGGGATTTTCTCTCTAACGCTACAAATGATGTTGTTTTATTCCGCTGAGTTTAGAAAAGAATAGCACGCATAACTTCACTGGGCGAATTTGTTCTTTTATGAGCTTCAGTTGGCCTTCTTCCACTCGGTATTGTTTGTTCGGTGGCTATGGTACGGGTGGAATACTAAACGCGATACAACGCTATGTTATAATACATATTGAATCTCCAACGAACCGCGACTGATACAAGCGCGTTTTGTGTCGCGGTAGTACGTAACGTCGGACCAAACATCATTACGACGCGATTACCACGGTAGCGGACGTCGACTATTTAATGTGTGGTTATTCTCATTGTATCTAACTTTATCCTATTAAAGCGGGAGGGTCGTCACCTACGCACGCGCGGGAATTGAGTCCCAGGCGACGATAACAACACACGCTAAAAACGCTATGGCCATCTGACGCATGCGCAGGTGACGACTCCCCCGCTTTAAATCGACGGGTGTTAGTGTTTTCAGGCTACGATGTGAATATACTCTACTCACGGGGGGCGTCGGCTACTTTGGACACTATATATGGAATGTATGCACCAGAGAAAGCGAAATGGGTGGGGTAGAAATACGTTGAAACTCGACCACACACTGGAATCCCCATCCTTCACTGAACCCTTTTTTGTCAATTCTGTGTTGATGTTTTTTTGGTTTTAAGTAGCGAATGTCAGGCCACTCAGACGGAAGCGTGGGATCAATCGTCACTTGGTCATAACACCCTCGAAAGGCTCTTACCAGCGCATGGTCTCATGTCACAGCCGCAAGAGGCGCTCTGTATTCAGGTAGTCGCAGTTAGCTATCAATAATCATCACCCGACCAAATCCAATAAATCCAATCTTATGAGACTTTCCGGTAGATATCACCATGATTAATGTTATTAAATAGTTTGACGTCGTTATCTGTGGTCACGTGACGCAGATATCATGTAATAAGACTGGCGGCACAGAAGATTCGTCAGTTAGCATTTACGATTCTCGTTTCAAGTCACATTCTCGCGTAATGTGTGGGATCTACGTGTATTTCCTGTCAATTAGCACGCCATCATCACATCACAAGCGGAAAGACGCTACTTTCAAAAAAGGAATTCATAAATTACCCCGTTTAATCACAAGAACTGTGTATCCTGGATGTGTGAAAAATTGGGCAAAACAATTTTTTTGAATTTACAAAGGTATTCTAATCCCCCAGGTACTTTGCTTGGTTGCACAGTTAAATTACAACCCAACTCAATGATGAAACTCCGCCGTCCGAAAATGCGAAAATTCCTTGCTACTGAACAAATGCAAGGCTCTCTATGTCTTCCCTTTAGTTGGTCCACTCATCCCGACTTATTGGGAACTTTGGCATTTCTTGCAATTGACTAACTCCGGTATCTAAAAAAACTAAGGAATATATATTTGTGGCAGGACTTACATTTCCGCTATTAGTGGTGTCTCCCCTTCCCATGCACATACACGTCCCTAATCATCGTGTTGTGGGCACATTATTAGAAAGAGAACCAGCGTGGACGGAGATGGTTCTGTATTCCATTAAATTGAATTTGTAAAGAATATCGCTATCCGTCTTTATTTCGAAGTTCAATACTGAAGAAAGGGTCACTGACTGGCTTCTGGTAGCAACGATAATCTTACTTCTTTCAAACTTAATTGCGGATTACTCAGCGCGGCATCTTTTTCCAAATAGCGGGAGAATTAGTTATCTATTTTAGATGCAAATCTCAGTCAAACCTGAATTTCTATCGTCTATAGTACACAGTCCTAATCCTATTCATACCCTTTCTCGCGGAGTGGAGAATCGTTGGTGTATCGATGTCATCCTCTAAGTCAACCCTTCAGAATAGACACACTCCGCCGCAAAGATGACACAAACTGTCATTACGTATGTACACCGCTATAATTAGAGTCCCTGTAAGTGTTTTGTGTTATGCGCGTCTTTTGTTTAAAAAAAACAAAGGGGTTAAATTAAGTTACTAGTGAGGCAATGAAGACATCAGAACAAACATGCCAGCCCACTTTCCTGTGCCAATTTTACGGTTAACAGCTTCACTTGAAATAGCAGGATCTTTACATTGAACCTCATCCAACTTGTGTGAAAGAAGGTGCGATCGCTTTCACGGTGGTCACTCACAAGTAAACTTTTTTTAATCATATCTATATATACCATGAGACCTACAACTATATGCATGGGGGGTACTTCAACAATATTTCTGTGTATCGCCTTCTAAGTCACGGACCCGTGTGTGTGTTGCATTTTCGGACTGTCTCGCCAAACCACATGTCCAGCTAAAAGTTTAAAAGATTTCTGAAACCAAATCTAAAAGCAAAGTATTCTGTTACGATTAGCGATCACTACGGCATATCGTACACAGCCGGATAAAGAATTAGTCTGATATTGACTTGTATATGATAGCACGGTGTAGTAATAACGGTTGTTTGTGTATTTATCTTCTCGGTTAGAAGAGATCGTTTGTTTATTTTACAGATAAAGTCATTTAGCGCTGCGTTAAACCCCCCTTGTCGGTTGTTAATCGGGTCAATTCTTTATTCTTAGACGGTTTCCCGCCATCACGGATTTAGCAACTGTAAATCTACTTCGACTGCGTTAGTTATCGTCGTTTCTGTGATTTCCGCTTCACCACTGAAATACACGTATTAATGAAAAATGTTCAGTGAAGTCAAAAGACTTTATTTGTCTAATAATTTGTCTATGTGACGTCATTCATTCGATTATTCCCCCACCGCGTATTTTTTTAATCAGTACATTTTTTCTTGTGATATACAAATTGGCTCACAGTGAAAGTCTGATTAAAACTGATACACGAATAAGTCGTCGGTCGTCACGCGCGTGGGCGATCAATCTACGCACGTGACGTCTGCGGTTATCGCCAGCGTCACAAAATGTTAATTCCTACTAAATGAACAGTCAATTAAAGTGAAAATTGAAAAAAAATACAGCATACAGTCCACGTATAGTATATTCTTAAAATATTAAGAGATGAGTAGAGGAGACGATGACAAATGAATACAAATTTGCTCGGAAGTATTTCCGTAGTCTTGTTTTCACTGAGAACATACATACATCACGACCGTCGCCATTCTATGACGTCATTCAATTGCGTCAACTAAACACAGTTTATCTTCTTGTGTCACTGTATTATTAAAATGTTTATCTACTTCCATCCCAATTATCTCTCAATTTTGTTGAAATTCTCACAAAGAGGCAGTAAACACGTCATTGTCGGTGAGCGCCCGTGTTCAAGTTATGTGCCGCCATACAAACGCGAAACTCATTTTACACTGGTTATGTGGTCTCGTAAAATGTGTGTGTCATCACACTTTTGTCGTGCTAGCAATTCAGCTAAGGGGATTGGACAACTTTGAAGCAATCCAATTTTATGATGGGTGTTTTAAGATTTCGTTCCGATTCTTAAGTACACTGAAAGTAGAGGGAAGAGGACTTGACTGGCACTAATCGGCGTTGAACGAGAGTCATGCTCGGAATTCGTTACCGGATCAAGTGAGATAAGAGTGGTGCCAGCACCTCTGTTTGCAATACTACACCCTACCCTCCTATGCACAAAGCAACAACATGACTGAGATTCTCGCTGGATACCTTTCCTTAAAGTGAGTGTCGATGGATGACTAGGCTGACGGAATTTCCAGAGCGAAGAGGGTTAACCTGGCCACTTAGAATTTATATACCACTTTACTCCGAAATACCCTCTTTTCAAATCCCTATATTCATTCATTGAGAAAGTTCTCTTTCAAACTGCTGCCTCAAATGACTGGCG